CGTCCTGTAAAGAGTTCCACAAGTATGAGTGGATCGGTCAGCTCATGGGAGCCGCACTCAAAGGAAAAGACTTCTTGGTGAGTGATGCTCGCCGTCTACCTACTGTAGGTCGGTTAACTCTGTGGTAAAGTAAAAATTAGTAGAGATTTGACTTTCTGGATTCTTCTTTGTCCAACCCTGCAGGTCTTGGCTCTGCCTGGGCTGGTGTGGAAGCAGCTGACTGGGGAGGCTGTCAGCTGGAATAAAGATTTCCCCGCTGTAGACTCCGTGTTGGTGAGGACATTCGGATTATTACAACTAGAGCTGCAACGAGTGATCAACTAATCCGTTAATTGTCAACTATTAAATTAATCCTCAACTGTTTTTATAATTAAATGATTAATTGGTTTGATTGTAGCTTCTCAAATCTAAATATAATCGGCCATTTTTAGTCCTATGACCGTAAACTGAATATCTTTGTGTTGTGGACAAAACAAGACATCTGTGGGTGTCATCTTGTGATTTGGGAAACACTGATTGACATTTTTTTTTTTTTACCATTTTCTGACATTTTATAGACCAAACAACTTTGATTAATCAAGAAAATCATTGACAGATTAATCAACAGTGAAAATAATGATTAGTTGTAGCTCTAATTACAACTCCTGAACAGTCATGTAATGTAAATTTTAGCCCTCAGACTTTGCTGCTGATGACATTCTAATTTACTTAATGTACAATAAATATCATTGTATGGCACAATTTTGAATTTGACAAATTCCCTTTACTGCATGCCCTCTTTTAAATTAACCTTTTCTGCATTACAATCTATGAAAAGAAGCCTCCAACTGTCCGGTGTGGCCAGCTGTAATCCCTATTTCTCTAGCCATCATCTCAAGTTAAATTTGGACGTGTGTTTCAGGTGAACCTGCTGGAGGCCATGGAGAACATGGACCAGGAGACGTTTGAGTTCAGGTTTGGCGAGGAGCTGGTGTACACCACCCTGCTGAGCGACGGCCAGATGGTGGATCTCATCCCCGGCGGCAGTAATGTGGCTGTTCGCTACGAGGACCGCAGCGAGTTCGTCCGCCTGGTGCAGAAGGCTCGGCTGGAGGAGAGCAAGCAGCAGGTGGGGCTTTGATGTTACGCTTTATCTTCCTTTACACTGCTGCTTTGATTGTAGTTATAATTTCTCTTGTTCTCGTATGCTTCAGTATAAACTCATCCAGTATTTATGGTGTGTATTATCTGCATGTGTCTTACAGATTGCAGCCATGCAGGCGGGGCTACTGAAGGTGGTTCCTCAGGCGGTGCTAGACCTGCTCACCTGGCAGGAAGTGGAAAAGAAAGTGTGCGGAGACCCTGAGATCACTGTGGAAGCCCTGAAACGACTCAGTGAGTGTCCACGATAGAATTTATCTGACAGTAAACACTTTTTCTGAGCCCTCTACTATAACCCTTATGCACCCTGCTGTAAACTCTGCCTATAGTTCCTCAGTCACCATCTTTTCTTAATATTAACATATTTATTCGCCACTAACCAAAAGTGAAGTTAATAAGTTGTTGTAATCCAGAATTATCCTTTAAGAAGCTACCAAGCTATTAAATCTCAATGCTGTTTTTATCTCCCTACCAGCACACTACGAGGACCTGGAACAAAGTGACGTTAGAGTTCAATACTTATGGGAAGCACTGACAAACTTCACCAATGGTCAGTTCACCGTTTAACTGTCAACATCTTTATAATCTCTTTTACAGCCTCTGCCTCAGTGATGAGATTAGGAATATGAAACAATATTAATGAGAAGTACTGTGTGTCTGACAATCGTGTTGAATTTTGTTTTCAGAGGATCGCAGCAGGTTTCTGAGGTTTGTAACTGGTAGAAGTCGTCTTCCTGCTCCAATCTACGTCTTCCCTGACAAGCTAGGGTCAGTGCAAGTACAGCCTTAAAAAAAATGATTACGAACAAATTACTGTTTGCTGTTGATGGCAAAATAGCTCATTTAGAAAATTTAAAATGCTCTTAATTGATCTATTTTGAAATGTTTGCTTCCTGATACAGCTCGGAAACGACCGACGCACTTCCACAGTCCTCCACATGTTCAAGCACGCTTTATTTACCCAACTACCCAAGGTACACTCATCTTGTGTATTTTGTATATAAAGAATCTGTTACTATATTTTGATCTGTACATTTAATATACAGTTGTGTTTACCATTTAAACATACTGCAAGGAGTTTTTACTGGTTGTGAAACAGTCTTAATTGAATGAATACTGATGCCTCTATACAACCTGCATAAGAACACAAGACCATCGGTGAGAAGATTGGTTATTTCTATGTAGTTATTCTTAACTATTCCCACCAGAGGCCGCCAAAATCAAGAAAAATGAAAGTTCCTTGTTGCTGCTTTAACGTTTTATAATCCTACACTTTATCACATTTATATAACGCTCTTATGAAGAGGATGACTGTTTGTACAGCTGCTTTTTATTGACGTTAATGTAACATTTATTCCTCTCCTCTTGTTCGTTCTGTCCTTTCAGTGCAAAAGTTTGCGAGGAGAAGCTGCGTTACGCTGCGTACAACTGTGTGGCCATTGACACGGACATGAGCCCCTGGGAAGAGTGATCTCTCTGCTGCTTCACTGAACAAACTTTACAAATCACTGTTGGATGGAGAAATCTTACCAAGTTTATTGCTATATCATATATCACAACTGCCAATTAATGCTAGCTGTATATAATAAAGAAATATATGGAAACATGGAAAGGACTGAATGTGTTTTTGCATGAAATATTAAATGAATGAAGGTGTTTGGTCTTCAAGAGTTTTGTTCTACAAATAAAATGTGAAGCAGCATATGACAAAATTCATTTTTAGAGCTCATTAATGTTCAAAAATGATTAAGATTGTACAATATTTGTATCAGATTAACTATGGATGTCAAATCACTGCATTCAGAGAGCATCAAAATACAAAACAAATCATGATTTTTAGTCGGGTACAGTGTATATGTATGTATGATGTACAAAAACAATAAATATAAATAAATAAATGGACATAATAGTGACTAAATAATCTTAATCTCTTACCAGCTTCCCACAGATGAAGTAAAAAATTACATAGATTTTTATTTATCTCTATTTACTTCCATTATATACATATTGAATCAAAACATGTATTTAAGTACATATATTAAACGTATTTTAATTTTATATTTTTATATAGTTCTAATAGATATATAGTTATATTAAGGATGGAACAAGGGTATAAATATAGACATATTTACGGTGGCCCTGAGGTGCAAATCACAACAGCAAATCAGAAAACACATAGATATGGACTACTGGAACCCCTGTTTCTACCTCTCTTAGGTATCCCACATTAACATGGACGTATTAATACAATATTTTCCTTATTTAGTGGTTTGAATTTTCAGATTTGGCAACTTGAACGCATAGGTCTGACAGTGTTGTGTTTCCAGACCAGCTCTTTTGTCCAATCAGCGACGACTCATGTCGCCAGAGGGAACCTAACTTTTCTGGTTTGGTTAATGTCGTTATGTTTTCTCTTTTTGTGTTGTGTTTTCTGATTTGCCGTTGTGATTTGCACCTCAGGGCCACCGTACATATTTATAAAAAGCGTTTTTTTTTTTTCTTACATGAGGACAGAAAATATTATGATTATTATCATTAAACTTGTGTGATTCAACGATAAAAGTATTGATTTATGTATTATTAATCATAAGTTCACACACACACACACACACACACACACACACACACACAAATCTCACTCGGAGGAAATACCGTTCGCTACTACGTGAATTCTCGCGATAACACGCGGCTTCAAACCTCCCCATGATCCTTTGCGAGTCCTCTTTCTAGCCGGCGCCTGAGAATGGGTACGTGTTTTCATGCTCGGGTCGGAGGGAGAATCTGTGTCCATCTGCTGTTTTATCGAAGGAACTTTATAATAATGGTTTGCCATATTGTAGCTAAATGTTATGTGATCCGATGTAGCGTTAACTTTGAGGTCTACGGGCAGTTTAAGATATCTTAATGATTAAAAAAAAAAAAAAAACTTGCGATGGATGTGTAGTGCTCCAAGATGGCTGTTCTCAGTGGGCATGTAGCTAGCCGCTGATGTTGGAAGTGTGCTCGACAACGGTACAGTTTGCTGTTTGTGGGGCTTTTAAAGTGTTTGAGGAGATTTCACCGGTGTGTATTCGTGGTTGTTTGCTGTTTTAGTGGCGGGTAATAGTTTATAAAAGAGCTTAAAGATCACGAAGAGACTGTGTTAGCATCAGCTAGCCTGATGGTCCGGATCGTGTCATGCTGCTGCACCGAAAGACTTTTAGTAAAACAGCGAGTAATGTGAGATAGTTGGGTCACTTAGGGTGGGTTTAATACTAATTCTGTTGAAGCTTTGTCTGTATGTAAGTGAACAACGACTTATTTAAGAGACTGGAGTCACATGCTGGTTCCTGAAGGCCACGCTTTGATTGTTTAAGCTCCTGAAATTACAATAAAAAGTAGTTTACCGCCACATAGAGAAGGTGTTTTATGTCTAAGGACTATGTGCATTTGTTAATTCAGTAGTAATATTATTAGAGATTTGTTTTTAGGAGTCCTAAATCTAATTAACTATAACATCATTTGAATTTAATCATGAAAGAAACTTAGTTGTGCTTGAGTGACGTGATGAAACTCTTTTAAGCGGAAACCGAAATAAAATTGCGGACAACCTACCTTGGAGAACTGATTGCTCAAGCACAGGCTATAATTTCGTATTGGAGATTTTGTGTGTTGGCAGTTTTATCTAACACCTGGTTTCTCTCCTCCTCCCCTCCCCATTTTATTCAGGTATCTCCAGGGACAACTGGCATAAACGCCGCAAGACCGGCGGTAAACGCAAGCCCTACCACAAGAAGAGGAAGTATGAGCTCGGTCGTCCTCCTGCAAACACAAAGGTAAATAAAACAGGAGTTGAAAATGGGCTCCGTGTGATGCGATGCAGCGTGGGTGATGAGAACGTGACCTTAGGTATGTCCTTTTGAGCCGTTTTGGTTCAAAGCTCTGGACTTACCAATGCTGGGACTTGTCATAGTTACACTGACACGCTTTAAAACCTGTTCGTAGTACGGTTTACTTCTCAACGAGCAAGCAGAATGCAGTCTTTACACACACAACAGGAATCCTAGGCATACTAACTGTGTTGATACTAATATAAAACGTGTTTGTTTTTTAGATTGGACCTCGTCGCATCCACACCGTGAGGGTCCGTGGTGGTAATAAGAAGTACCGTGCTCTGAGGCTGGATGTTGGTAACTTCTCATGGGGCTCTGAGTGTAAGTTTTTATTATAGATTGATAGATTTAAGCGATCTTTGATGATGCACACAGCTTTCTATGAAGATACCTTGTCCAGTTCTGCTACTGAATGAAAGTGCTGATAACGACGACTCTGAGAACGTTTCCTATGCTGACGTGTGTGGCAGCTTTAAAGATTTAACCAAACAATGCTGTTAAGTGACATGAAATTGGGAGCGAAATATGATTTGCTAATGACACTTTATCTTTGTGTGCACACAGGCTGCACACGGAAGACCAGGATCATTGATGTTGTCTACAATGCCTCCAACAACGAGCTGGTCAGAACCAAGACCCTGGTGAAGAACTGCATCGTCATCGTCGACAGCCTTCCCTACAGGCAGTGGTATGAGGCTCACTACGCCACTCCTCTGGGACGCAAGAAGGGAGCCAAGCTGGTATGTGGGTTGGGGGGGATATGAATGTACAATTTATGTATTTCTTCAGTTATGGTAGATGCAGCAGCAGCACAGTAACTTTTGTTAGGCAGTGTTTTTTTATACTCGAAGGTACATGCTCAGTTGGTAGATCTGCTGGGTTTGAATAACGATGGTGTCAAATTAGTTCAACTTTAATTTAATTTTGTACAGACTCTGTATAGGCACTTAACGATTGATCCTACAGGTGGTCTCAATGTATGAATATATATGCTTCATGTCTTTCTATGAAGATAACTTGTCCAGTTCTGCTACTGAATGAAAGTGGTGATAATGATGACTCTGAGAAAGACGTTTCCTCTCATACGTGCTGCAATGTTAACACATTCAACTCACCTGTTGCCCAGCAGCTCTCACCTGTTCATGTTCATCCAATTAACTTCAATTCTCTCTCTTCTGTAGTCCCCCGAGGAGGAAGAGGTCCTGAACAAGAAGAGGTCAAAGAGGACCCAGAAGAAGTACGATGAGCGTAAAAAGACGGCCAAGATCAGCACCCTCTTGGAGGAGCAGTTCCAGCAGGGAAAACTGCTCGGTGAGTCTCAACATGTGTATTCTTCTACTGTGGTATCTGTAGGGAATGATGTTCAATATGAAGTCTAACTTGTATCACTACTGAATCTCTTTTTGAAATTCTATATCCATTATACTCTGGTATGTACCTGAATTTTACTGGCAACTAAGATGCCAGTTAATTTAAGTGTTAACACATAAAGGCACAGAAGAGCTTTAGTCACATCTTATATTATCTGTGGCAATGAGGTGTCATGGGAAACTTTGGCTTCCAGGGATGTGAAATTTACTTTTTGACAAAATAGATAGATTACAATTAAAGAGCATTATCTACTCATGACACCTAAGTGCTGTCGGGTCCCTGTCTTTCTATGAAGATACCTTGTCCAGTTCTGCTACTGAATGCAAGTGGTGATAATGATGACTCTGAGAAAGACACGGACATCTGCTGCAGCGTTAATTCACCCAGTCAAAATATCTGAGCTCACCCTGTTTGGGGATGTTAAATATTAGCACTAGCTCTTTATACCTCAGTGGTGCCCCTACATTAGAAGGTGAAGCAGGGCCCACAGTATAAGGTTTAGACCAGTGTCAGATGAAAAGCCCTGGCTATGAAAGAACCAAAAACTGTCAAGTGTATTAACATTTTTTTTTCTTGCAGCCTGTTTTGTTTTGAGGTGGTTTATCCAACTCTGACTGATCATGTTTCCCTCGTTCCTCCTGCAGCTTGCATCGCCTCCAGACCCGGCCAGTGCGGCAGGGCAGACGGCTACATCTTGGAGGGCAAGGAGCTCGAGTTCTACCTGAGGAAGATCAAGGCCAAGAAAGGCAAATAGATGTACAGCTGTTTGATACGTCAATAAAATCCAAACGCCCCACAACTGTCTGCTCTCGCTGCTTTTCTTTCTGTTTATTGGTGGTGATGCATTGAATTTCTAGTCTTGCTCAGATTAAAACTCAAAGCTGTCCAGTGACTGGGCTGCTGTTCTGTGTTTAATCTGATCAGCCGGGTGTGGCAACAAGTTCCCATCAGGCTGAGGGCAAAATATAGAAAGTGAAGGTGAATTTAACCAGGAAGTCTGCAGCATGACCTGATGGTACACTGATCTACCAGACAAAGTGCTCTTGTCAGGTGACCAGTGGTCATAATGATTCAGATATGATTTAAGAAAAAGCAGTATCCAAAATTACAGGTCAAAGTTGTAGATTTTGAATGGAAGTTATGAACTCAGTGTGTCCATTCATTAAAGGTCAGATTAGGTTTAGTTAACTGAATGATAGAAAAAATGTTTAATTTGTAGCCGGTTGAGGTTCAGCTACTTTTAACTTTATTGTAGGTTTTTATTTTGGTAGTCTACTCTAGTTGTTACTAATCTGAGGGTCCAGATCCCTCTAGGGGATGCCAGAGCTTCACAGGGGCTCATTAAACCTTGATTTAAAGGGGTCTAAAACAGTTCTCTATAAGATAAATTACATTGGGATTAATCTCCACATAAGGACACAATGAAGACCTGGTCATCTTTCATGACCATGATTTCATGATCTTTAATTGTGTTCACTATTTGGATTAATTGTACAGTTAATCAGTAGTTCTGTACTTGGATATGATATTAAATACACATAAGATATGTCACTGTCAGTTTACTTGATAAAAATGGGACCACGTAAGGAAAGGGTTGTTGTCCAGGGGTCTGCAACCTTCACTATCTAAAGAGCCATTTTGGCCCTTCTCCCTTCAAATAAAATAAATCTGGAGCCACAAAAACAAAACAAAAATTGACCCCTAACACACATTAGGCATATAAAGTTTTTTATATAGTTATATATAAAAGTACTATAGTATATAGTTTGTTGCATTTATGAAATTATAGAACTACAAAAAGAAAATTAGTGCTTTTTTTTAACTTTTTTTTAAAAGTTTTCCTCTTTTACATGTTAACAGAAGAAAATAATCTGTAGGTTGATTTTGAAATAAAGTATGCAGGTCTGTTTGAATCCTTATTTGTGGAAAATTAATCAAATAAAAAGTAGCCCACTTTGAAATAAATAAAATATAAACCTGCAGATTAATAGCTGTAAAAATAGTAAACATAAAAATAGGTTTGTATTACGACTTAAGTCCATTTCAGTGAGCCGTTATCCTCCTGTTTTTTCCCGTACAGCAATCAAGTAGCTTTTTTCCCGAAGCTACAGGAGCGACTGCAGAGGGGTGTCAACCCATGTGAAGTCTACAGCAGTATATCTTGTCAGTGGATCGTATGAGACAAGAACTGTATGTTTCCTGTGGGAGACTGTGCAGCAGTATCAATAAAGGTTTAAATGTCAGATACCCATAATGCCAAAACTATAAACAACTGTAAGGATCATACGTTGAATATATGAACTAGAAAATGATATAACTATATGCATGTCAATTTAAATGTATTGGAGTAAATGATAGAATATCTCCTGAAATGTTCCATTGAGAGAAAAGAGGTATAGTAAATGGTCCCTTTCCACTACTGCAGTTGAAATTTAGCTTTAACAAGGAATGGGTGAATAGTTTTATCAAGGAATGATAGCTCATGTAATCAGTCATATACATTGATCAACAACAAACCAAATACTCTGAGGGCTGTACTAAAGGTAACTGGCTTATCCAGGTGTAACTTCCAGGTTACCTCGTACTACTAAAGGTGGATAAGTTTTACTCTGAGATGTGTTGACATGGCAGTTTACTGTCCATGATACTTTTTGTGGTTGACTCCATGTTACCCAATAAACCTCCTCCTCTCCTCCTAAGAAAGATATCCATTCTCATCTGAGGGAGTTCAGTATCGTGTTTCTAGAGCCAGAATGAATTTGTTATGTTCCCATTTAATTGTTATAAAGATCAAAGAGGCTTTTTATGCGGTCGCTGGCAATTCACGATAGAAAATACTAATACTAGAAATTCTTACATAAATATACATAAACTGGGCCTGTATACAGAACACTTGATTTCCAGAGGAATCCAGAGGATGATTGGTGCAATTTATTCTAATAGTAGAGTTACATTCACACAGGTAGACCTTCAGTATCACTGCTTTAGAGAAGATTTTAATTCAGGGCTTAAAGTTCTCAGGCAACACGTCTGATTTCAGTTTCAAATTCATATAATACTTAATTCCATACTTTAATCCCTGTTAATTAATTCATTAACGGGTCAATTTCTGGTATATTTTTGTCATTAATTTACCACTTTAATCTTAGATATTTACCACAGTCGTATTCAATCGTATCACAAGGTTCAAAGAGTCTGTAAGAGAAAAATAAGAGAACCTACGATATGAACATTGTAATGTTACTTGTGAATTTACTCTGTTGACAATGTGCTTCCTCCCTGTCATTGTTGGCCTCTACTACAGTGAGACCAGTCTGTTAACTTTCCTTTAAACTCCTCATCTCCTGATATTATCATTGTTCATTCTGCTGGGGACAAATACAGAGCACCGACTCAACTAACATCGTAATCACCGTCGTAGTACAGTTTAACACCAGTGTAGAGTTTGATAACCTGAGTTAAATCTGAGTAGGTCCAACTCCCTTCATAGTACGGCCCTCGGGTACAACTGTGAGTACCTTATGTATATTGTTCTCCAACAATATGAATTAATAAATATATACACAACCTCACAAGCATAAACACAACATAGAAAATTAAAGAAGCCATATTATGCTTTTGGGGGTTTTCTCTGTGATTTAGTGTGCTGAGTTGATTTTTTGTGAATGTAAAAGGTCTGAAAGTGACTGAACCCAAAGTGTGTGTCAAAGGGAGTTACTGATTCCCAAAGAAAACACAGCTCCTGCACTGCCTGAGACGCCTCGATTGTAATCAGCCTTTTCTTCTGTTTCTCTATGACCTCACAGAGAAACACGACACTGATAGGCTAGGAGACACTACAAGTCTATCAGTGTATGTTTAATGTATGTAATGTATGTTTTGTATTTTGTATGCTACTGGATACTTGAATTTCCCTCGGAATAAATAAAGTATCTATCTATCTATCTATCTATCTATCTATCTATCTATATTGAAGGACGGTAAAGAGAAACTGTGAATGTTAAGCCTCATTCGAAGACAACTAAATAACAAGAATAGTAGGCTGCTTTCTCATGTTGCTTTTTGTGTTTATACTGCATCGCTTGTTATTTGCACTGATGATTATATGAATAAATGTCAAATACATTTGAAATGTCTATGTATGATTTTGGAGCTTTAAGTTTTAAATAGTTGTCATGTATGTTTTACAATCAGTATCTATAAAAGTATAAAAGGAGGATAATTATTTAGCCAAATCATTTTGTGAAAATAATATTTTCAGTATATTATATATTTATAATATTTAATTTTATTTGTACACTATTTTATTATGTGAAGAATTCAATATAGTTGCAAATTCTATAATGAAATGTTTGATATGCATGTTAGATCATGTATTAAATGTATATTTTCTCAGTAAACTATGTACATGCATTAACAGATTTCACATTTACAGATTTGTCTACACATTACAAATCTCAATACACGTTCACAAATTTCGAGATCATTTTACACATTTTAATACAAATCTGATCACATACACATGGATTGAGATACAGTTACACAACTCTCCACTCACTATTGTTAATGGTGTTGCCACAATAATGGCCACATAGACAACCGGCTGATTCTGGTCACTGCCCCGATCAATTGGTGCATCTCTTAAAAAAAAAAAAAAAAACAGTAAAATGCTGCTCACACATTCATACACCAGAAATAAATATGATCCAATAATATAATTTGTAATAATAATTAAACAGGGGGCTGTTTTCCTGTATTAAAACTACTTTTACTCAATTGTAAGTCTAAATGTAGGACTAATGGAGTATTTTTACACTGTTTATATTACTAATGTTACTCATTATCAATTCCACTGGTGCTCAGATAAAGTTAAGATAAGCTTGTTTAAAGCATATTGTACTCCTCTGTATACTGCCCCCTTTTGGACCAAGTTTAAAAAGTCTAGCATCCAGAAGCTCCAAATTGCCTATAATGATGGTTTGCGTATACTGCTTAAAAAACCCAGGTGGAGCAGTGCAAGTGAACTATTTTGTAGGGTAGGAGTCAACACATTCCATGCACTGTTGAGAAATCTAATGCACAAATTTATTTGCAGATTGAATGGTTCATGTAACCTCATCATTATGCTGCTGTCAAACCCTGGTCTTAGTACTGTGCGATACCAGTCATCCATGTGGAAACACTGGTATCATTGCCTTTTTTAATTGTCCTGTTGTTGTTTGTGTATGTGCTGTTGTTTGTATTGGTATGTGTATTTATTGGACCTTGAGTCTGGAAATAAAAGTTGATTGATTGATTACTCACTGAAAACACACCATTATTGTGGATATTTTAAATATGGTGCATCTATGGATAATCAATAGTTATAACAATCACAACCTGCGTTAAATATCCGCACATATTTTGATTTATAAGCATAAATTACATCATAAAACACTAATACACATACAGCATTAAGGGGTATAAAGCCCAGTGCTGGCAGCAGCGGGGGTATTATGACACACAGGTTTCAGGTTGGGTAACTAACTGGGGCAAAAGTCGTTTCCCGGATGCCGAGATGTGTCACGTGATGAATTCCCGCTGCTGTGATTGGCTGAGAAGGTGCATATGTGGGACAAAGGTAGGGGTCACTTTAGCTCTGTGTGTTTATACAGCACGTCAACACTGGGGTTATGGCTATGATGTTCAACAAGGTGAGAGAGTTTAATGTGTTTTTAAGAGTTTTTTTTATTGATTAATAATCTGCTTACCTCCTGACAAACGTCTTCTTCGTTTAAATTCAAACAACTTTGGCTCAACTTACGCCACGGGCTAACAGTTAGCTTAGCTTTAACGTTAGCAACCAGGTTCTGGTTTCTTTATTATTCAGGAACACCGAGCTCCAGTTTGTGGCTCCTAATGTGTTGTCATTATCTTATAGTCGAGTCTAAGCGCTTAACCACCTGGCACAAACGTAATTATCCAGCTGGTTACCTTTTTAACCACGTACAGCTAGAGCTAACGTGAAGGTAAACACTCTTAAGATAGCTTTAACCCGGGTTAGGGGTTGCTTACTTCATTTGTGCTGTCGGTTTAATAGTAGGGCTGCACAATAAATGATCAAAATCAATATATGCAATATCCATTTTTGTTTTTATTAAGATACAAAAAGCTTTATTTCCTTTATTGATCCATTATTGGTGACATTCAGGTTTGGCACAGCAGCACAAGGGGTAGAGAAGAGGGAAATATAATAAAGATATAATAGAAAATATACACATTAAATGCAATTGCAAGTGGAATATGGTGTGCAAAACATATGTTAAACGGTGTATAATGTACATGTTACAGTTGTGCATAGCAGATTAAAGTTAAACTGTCTTTCTCAGTGCAGGTGGGAGGTGCTGTGGCTTTGTGGAGTCAGATGACTGATGGTACCAAATGAGTCTGCCTTTGAGGCTCGGGGCTGAATCTGTCTGTGGTTGAAAGGGTTCCTGAGCTGCCTCGGCTCAATGTAGAGAGGATGAGAGGGGTTTTCCACGATGTCTTTCAGCTTCCCTCTCACCCTCTTCTCAGTCACTGCCTCCACACTGTCTAAATTCCCCTCACAGTACAAAAAGAGCGATCATGTAATTTTCTGATGGCTGGATAGGAAACGGTTGCACCTTGAGAAATCTTTCGTCTTTTTCATCGTGCAGCAGAATATTTTCAATCCAGATGGTTGAAATACCCTCTTAAGATTCTGGAAATACTTTCACTTGAGAACAGCTGTAAATGTTAAATTTAGGAAATCTCTGTAGCTATTTCTTTTTCAGGCAAACGGACTCTTAGCTCTGTGGCTCGACTGTAATGGTGATAATACACAATGAACAGCAGTAACCTGGGGGCTAACTAAGGCTTTACTAAGTTTTTACTTAAGACTGTATAAAGGTGTGGAGCTTCCCCTGTTTAAGGTTAACTTTGTTTTATGTTGCTGATTTTCCCCCCTCCACACGCAGGTGCTCAGAGCCACTGTGCGGTCCGGGATCCGGTTGCAGGGCTCCAGTGCTGCTGCAGCCAGTGTTGAAGCATCTCACAGCGGCTCAGCAACTGGCTACTCATTTGGTGAGTAGGATGTAAAACATGTGTGTGTATATTTATATTTATATATAATATAACTTTCAAAGTTACAGTCTTTGTATATGCTAATATCCCTTGTTTGTATGTATTTAACACTTTCTTTTCTTTGAGAGAAATTTGTACTAAAAGAATGTAACTTTGGAAATACTGACTTCAGACTGCTGAACCCCCTTATTATCTTCAGCTGAATTCAGAACAAGGATTCTGGATTTTGTCCCTCATCATTACCCTTAAAATCACTTCATCCTGGGTCTTTTTCCTGCTTTCACCCGCAGAGCTGACAGATCAGCAGAAGGAGTTCCAGCAGCTGGCGAGGAAGTTTGCACGTGAAGAGATCGTCCCTGCTGCAGCCACTTATGACAGGACTGGTGAAGTGAGTATAAGATTGGGCTGTGCAGTGATTGTGTATGTAAGATTAAATATGACTTGACTTGATAGTTTACTAGCATTAAAGCTGTTTCCACGTTATGTTTTAAAAAATAAGTTTGAATAACTGTTAGATGTCCTGTCATTTTGCAGTATCCTGTCCCAATCATCAAGAAAGCATGGGAGCTTGGTCTGATGAATGGCCACATTCCACAGGAATATGGTATGTTGTTTTCTTGCTTGATTTAAAACTTACCCGCCATATTTGAAACTTGTCTCACATCTATTTAGTTTGAGGATTGTGGCTACAACATAGGCCTATACACGGCATTAGGCTGATTGGAGTCTATACGTTTTAATGTATGTTATTGGCAAGTTGCCGGATTTCTTTTGGAAAACACTGCGAGAAACCCTGTTATGTGTGTCCCTTTTGTGTTCAGGTGGAATGGGCTTGTCTATCTTTGACAACTGCCTTATCACAGAAGAGTTGGCTTATGGATGCACGGGAGTACAGACTGCTATCGAAGCAAACTCTCTGGGCGTAAGTTGTAATTTTATTCAAATTGTTGTTGGGATCCACCATACGTATAACGTTTTCTGTGCTGTGCATGTTGCTGAAGCTTCTGCTCGTATGGCAGTAGCGTTCAAAGGCTTCTTAGCTTTTCAACTTGCAACTTCTAACAGTCCACTAATGGCAGAATGCTGCTCAGTCAAACTTCAGTTGAGACAGAGTTGTGGATTGGGGGTTCAGAGCACTGCTGCTACTGAATATTATAAATATAATTTTCTATAATCAGTATTGCCAAACTGTCAGAGTATTTTGGTTTAAACACCAGATGAGTCATAACAAGGATTAATAACAGTGATTGTATCTCAGTTGGAATTAACTTATATCTGTTTCTCCCACACAGCAAATGCCTGTCATTTTAGCTGGCAGTGATGCACAGAAGAGTAAATACCTGGGAAGGATGACAGAAGAGCCTCTTATGTGTGTAAGTACATATGTGCCCTTTTTAGAAGGGCATTATATATAGTTTAAAGTACGTTTCTGCACTGTTTACAATAAGATTATCTTGCTCTGTGCAAGTTTATTTTCAACAAAGCCTCTCATGAAGGAAGTAATGTAAGCCCATCATCATAGTACTACTTTACTACTGTGCTGACTCCAGTATCAACAATGAAAAAAGGAACTGCTCTATCTTGCATCTGAGCAGATGCTGTAACCGACAGTGTGGTTTGTTTTCGACAGGCGTACTGCGTCACAGAGCCCGGGGCGGGCTCCGATGTGTCCGGTATCAAGACGCGAGCTGTGAAGATGGGTGATGAGTACGTTGTTAACGGGCAGAAGATGTGGATCACCAATGGTGGAAAAGCTAACTGGTGTGTACTCGGTACCACTGCTCTTAATGTACTCGAAGAATGTTGAAAAATATCACTCACACTTTAATTAAAAACTGAACAATATAACATTTTATGGAGGGAGGCTTTATTGCTGGGCTGTTGTTTGAGACTGCATTAGTTTTAGCTAATTGTATCTTATAACGTGGAAACGTGTGTGTGTGGGTGTGTACTACATATCCTTAAAGTCTCTGAATACAGAAACATCTGTCAACTGTTCTGAAGGTTATTTGAACTTTTATATTCTTATTCCTAGGTACTTCCTCTTGGCCCGCTCTAACCCAGATCCTAAATGTCCAGCTGGCAAAGCTTTTACTGGCTTCATTGTGGAAGCTGACACTCCAGGAATTCAAATAGGAAGGAAGGTACGATGAGGCTGAATTGCTTTTTTTTTTTTTTTTCTCTAACTGGTTTGTCTTAAAGGTAGAGTGTGAGAGTTCTACATTTAAATGAACGTCTTTTACACTCAAGCCCTTGCCAAAAGACTGTACACAATTCTAATTAAGCCTATGGTCACCAGGTAAATCTCTCTGTATTACACCATATACAGAGCTCCCCCTGCCTCAAAATTAAGGACATCCCATTGTCCCAGGCCCTTTAGAGAAATGTATCAATACCGATTACATTTATGAACCTGTATTGTATGCCTTTGTTTGTTTAATACACTTGGATCAATATGAAGATTTTTTTGTTGACACAAGGACTCATTAATTGTTAGTTAAACTGTGGATTTTGTATTGAGCACTACTTACAGTATAATACTGTAAAATATGTCCTTGTGTTTGTTTTGTGCTTGTAGGAGATGAACATGGGCCAGAGGTGCTCTGATACCAGAGGCATCACCTTCGAGGATGTGAGAATACCGAAGGAGAACGTCCTGATCACAGAGGGAGCTGGCTTCAAAATTGCCATGGGTGCCTTCGACAACACTAGGCCACCAGTAAGTCTTCTAACTGTAACTGAATGCCTCTTGTGTTACTCCAAAGATGGTTTAGAAGAAAACAGGAATTTATTTGTGTTTCTCAGATTTTTCTTTTCTTTTTTTTTTTTCTTTTTTATAAATGCATTAGTACAAAAGTACAAGTACAAAAATCTGAAAAAAACAACCACTTTTAGGGAGAGTGTCTTCATGCAGAAGACAATGCAACTTTAGTATGTGAGGACATAAAAACTTAGACATAGCCTCCACTACCCAATACCTGATATTCTATTGCTACTGCCAAATAACTTTCAGCTTTTAAACTTTGTAAATTAAATACTTAAATACTGTTTTTAAATGCATTTGTCACTGAAGATGATGTTTACTAATGTAACTGATGCAATACAGGTGGCAGCAGGAGCAACGGGCCTGGCACAGAGAGCACTTGATGAAGCTACCACTTACGCACTTGAGAGGAAGACTTTTGGCAAAGTTATTGCTGAGGTTTGTTCACTTTTTATAGACTATGATGTACCCCGTTTTAAGTTCAACGGATTACAGAATTTACTGTAGAAATCTGTTTTTAAAACAGTGGAAATACCGTCACAACACAGCTGTACAGTGTTAAAAATATAACGATGAGTACAGAATTAACAGGCTCATCTGTCTTCTCCTCTTTCACAGCACCAGGCCGTGTCCTTCCTCCTCGCAGAGATGGCGATGAAGGTGGAGCTGGCCAGGATGGCGTACCAGCGCTCTGCCTGGGAAGTGGACCAGGGCCGCAGAAACACCTATTACGCCTCCATCGCCAAGGCCTTCGCTGGCGACATTGCTAATCAGGTGGCCACTGACGCTGTTCAGGTATTTGGAGGAAACGGTTTCAACAGCGAATACCCCGTTGAGAAGCTGATGAGGGACGCCAAGATCTACCAGGTGGGGGATGATGTTGTGCACTTAATCGTCGATAGCAGTTATTTGGTAAAACTTAATTTTCTGATTTTATTTTTTTTCCTTTGTAGATCTACGAGGGCACAGCTCAGATCCAAAGACTCATTATTGCCAGAGAACACCTGGGAAGATACAAGAAGTGATCTCTGCACGCCTGATTTGTCTGCATTCAAATATACTTTGTAACTTTTCTATACAAACACGTGTTCTTTGAAATAGATCTGCTTGCTTACACTCAGGATATAGTTGTAAAATCTTTGCCTTAACATCAGTTTATCCTGCCTTGCTTTTTCGTACTTCTCCAAACTGAATGAACATCATCAAAACCCGTCTACAGAACCTGTCCCGTTTCCCAAATGCAGCTCAGAACTGTGGCCTTACTGTGTGACTCTGTGAAGTAAGATCATCAGATTATGTCCTGCAAGGCTTCTGCAGATTGTGAATAACTGCAGCCAGATACAAACTCCACTCTATATATGATGTAAAATACACAACATTACAAAAAATACTGCATTTATTTAGCATTAACCTTGTTAAAATGAGAACCAACTTAAAAGGCAGCCTAAAAACAAACCATCACTTTAGTTTTTTTGGTCGGCTAGATTCAGATGATTCAGACGGACCTTCAGCCTTAAGGCTAAAACACACCGGCACCGAACGGGCGCCCTGATTTCACGCCACTGTCCTGTTTCCTGCGTCGTCGTGCCTGAGGTTACAAATTATAGTGACAAAAAAAAATACATTGCCTGGCGAACCATAGCTCTGGAGATTGGTTCTTCAAATCTGTGCTTGGGGCAACAATTGGCGGGCATCAAATGAAACGCTGGTGTGTTTTGGCCTTTTTTCTGCCTATGATGTCATACCAAAAGTGACGTACTTGCAGTGTTTGGCTACCCCTGTTGAGCAGTGCAGTGTTTTCATATTGTAAAAGCAATTTAATTTTGATCTGTACAAATCCATTTCTCACCAGATGGATTAGAAATAGGAATGTGTCTCTAATGAATTAACTATGTAAAAAAAAAAATGCATGTTGTCTGAAAATAGTTTTCTGTCTGATTTGCCAAATTACATCCTTAACAGTTGCTGTCCGTTCTACATTATTACCCATTATCAAATATAAAGAGCCATCGGCAGAGAGTACGGATGTAATAATGTGAGCTGTGGTTCAGCTGTCTCACACCTTTCACTCGTTGACAACACCTGTGACATAATGATATTAAATTATTCCATTAAATCAAGAACTCATCATGTTTTTGTTGTTGTTTTTTTATGGACATAATGAATGAATGTTCTGTTCAAACAGTTTGTGTAGACTGGATTTAAAGACTTAAGAGATGAGTCCGACCTGAGTCGAGGCAAAATCATACAAGAAAGATTAATACAAAGCATCTGAAATACGAGTCAACTTAAAATATTTTAGACAAACACCCTCTGATAGACACGGTCTTCTTTTGTCTTTGTTATTTTGTGGTTACTTACAGAGTTCAGGCTTTTACCTAACCCTCGTCCTCGTCCTCCCACACCATCCCGGTCTAACTATCCACCTGTCAAACTAAACCCCCCAACCCCCCCCAGTCCAGCAGTCGTCCGTTCAGGTTATTCACCTGTTTCAAGGAAACATGACGGGTACAACAAATGTGTGACATGTTGCAACGGTCGGCGAGAGTTTTGGTGACCTTTAAACAAGATTGTAGCCCCAAAACAGCGCAGCCACTGAAACTCACACACACACACAATAGAGATGGATATTCACTAACATCAAATATGAAAGCATCAAATAATAAGAAAAAGGAGCAATACATATTCTTAAAAGCCGGTGGATCCCACAGGATAAGGTTAGAAATTAACAAATCAGATTTTATAAAACTAGAAAGCCATCTTAGAAATTACTTAGTTTAGATTTGTCTCATTGATTATGTCAGAAGTGTTATCAGTGGTACCGTCTGAAAAATAAACACAGACGTGTAATACATTAAAGGAAAAACCTCAATAAATAAGAGTATGACTGCAGATTCTTCCACACGAGTACACTGCGTGGTACAGTTAAGCTCTGTGGCCTGTATAAACTGCTGAGCCCGCCCAGTTGACTCTGATATTATAGTAGGGTTGCAGTGTATAAACCCCGCATTACAAAGCTGAATGCACATTTGAGACTTCCACATTATTTGTGCACGTGTTTTACTTTAAGATTACAAGTAGAGTTGGTTTGCAGTAAGTGTTGTTGACTGTGGAGGTCAGCATTGTGCCTCGCAGTATACAGTCTGCACAGCCGTACAGCTTCAGTAGAAGAACAAAACTTTATTGAGAAAATAGACATTCAATCATACTGTCAGAATGCTTGGTGCATTCAATACCAAGCATTTCATTGTAAGAAGATTGTAACAAAAGAAACAAATGCAAGAAACCTTCAGGGTCTGCTATACAATTGGAGTAAATCTGAAATGTCTAAATAATAGTTTGCTAATTTTGTTTAACTATTTTCAATAGTTGTCAAATCTAATATGATATAAAAGGGGGGTTATCTTTTAGGCCAAATAATTTTGTGAATATGATATTTTGCTAAAATGTTAATCAAGTTAAGTATGTAAATTTAATCTGCAGAGAATTTGGGATTATTACAAATGAGTAATATGTTTGTTAAATATATCTAAAGGTTATTTTGTAAATCAAATTTTAAAGAAGTTAAATGAAAATAATCTATAAATACTTACAGTTAATACATAATATGTTCAGTGGTTTGTAAAAGTGTTTCCTTTGTTTTTATTCCGCCGACAGTGCTGCGGTCCTCCCAACCAGAAGGTGGCGGTAGTGCACCAAAACCAACCGCAGTAAAAACACCCGAAGAAGAAGAAGAAGAAGAAGCCTGATCATGCTATATTTCTCAGAATGGTAACCGGCGTTATGTTATAAATGTTCTAATTATCCAGTGTTATTTAAGATAACATTACACCCACAGTGGAGGGGAATGTCCACATGTCGCCTTACATTGACCGCTGATGTGTAAAAGCAGTAAAGTGGCTAAACTGTAGCCAGCGTTAGCATGTAGCTCGTCGGTTAGCATTAAACCTGTCAACAACTTATTGTTTTCATCATATTCGGTCATTTAGCGACGCAGTGAGAGTTAGTTCAGCCATCAGGTGTGACAGCGACAGGGTCGAGCTCGTAACTGTGTCCCATTGAAGTCAGTTTGTGGCCTGTGTTTGATATATTGTGGTGTGTTTAATGTCAGGGGACCCAAGTGAAAGATGTCATCATTAAGCCTGACGCTCCCAACAATCTGCTGCTGGACAAACATGCAGACTACATCGCTGCCTACGGCTCCAAGAAGGATGACTACGTGAGTTTATACGTGTTTTCTTCTATCGTAGACACATATGTGCGCTTACTTTTGCTTGTTTGAGCTCTGGGGGAAACTAACAGCCGACAGCAGTGGGGAGAAAACCCCCTTTTTCTGTGTCTACAGGTCCGTAAAGAAATGTTTTTTCCCCCCCCAGTTTGTTGTGGAGGAACTCGATCCTCTCCACACAGCACCCTTTGTGATGAGCTGGTACACCCACTGGGAGCCAGGCTTTGTCAGCAGACATCAGTGGCCGACTTCACTGCTGCTCCTGTTGCTGAATCGGAGCAAATCCCTGCAGCCAGACGCCGAAATGTTATTTTAAGTCATTAAAAAAAAAGATTTGTATTTGTGAATCACAAATTTATTTAGGAATATGCAACATATAAATTGACACAGAGTTCCTCCTGATGGGTAGAAAACGTAGGTGATAATGCAGGAGAGCCCCCCCTTATCATTTGAGTTGATATTTTGTTTTAGTGGTGCATCAAATGAGGAATGACTCAAGTAGTGAATTTGGGGCATCCATAGGGGCAGCCCACCCCCCGGGTCCACCTCCAGTGTGTGTGGCTAACCTTCACAGGCCTCTGTTGGAGCGGTGGATTGAGGTTACAAACCAAACATGTATTTTGTTCTGATTGAAGAGCTGCTGGATAAAAAGTTTCAGTTTATTTGTGCTCCACATGTGTTTTATCTTGAGATTGTAAGTAGACTTGGTTTTCAGTAAGTGTCATTGACTGTGGAGGTCAGCATTATACATTGCAGTACACAGTCTGCATAGATGTACAGTGTCAGTATCCAGGTGGAAACCAGAGTACCAACCTCAATACACCAGAAGAAAAAACAAAAGAACAAATTAAACTACTAATATTTCTTGAACAAAGTGTATTTTTTTCCCCCCAAGAAAGTTGGATGTTTTTTTGTTATTGTTGTGTTTGTTTTGTGAAAGATGTTTTACCACATTTATTTGAAAATCCCTTTATAATATCTAATGACTAAATCTGCTTTCGGGGGCAGAAAGCAGTAAGATGGCAGATATTACCTAATAAGTCTCATTGTAATAATGGTATAATTTCTATTTTATAGATGTAAATATTACATTACAGATATTACATATCTCCAGTCAGCAACCTGAAATGTATTTATTGTTATGTGTGAATAGAAAATGGTTTTAACTTTAAATATCTGTGCTTATACCATATTCTGATGGTCATAAAGCTGCTGCTTTCACTCTGCATCTAACTGTTTATATAAAGCTTTTATTTTATTCCTGTAAACAAAGTTCAAGAATTCCACAATCATATTCTTTTAATACATAACCCTTTTCTATGGACTGTACAGTAAACAGGTCGTGCTCTCCTGTTCATTGATGTCCGGTTTGTGTTCAGGAGTACACGCTGTCGGAGTACCTGCGGATGAGCGGGATCTACTGGGGGCTGACAGTAATGGACCTGATGGGGCAGCTGCCCCGGATGAACCGGCAGGAGATCATAGACTTCATCAAAGCCTGTCAGCACGAGTGTGGGGGCATCAGCGCCAGCATCGGACACGACCCCCACCTGCTCTACACCCTCAGCGCAGTCCAGGTGACTCTTAAGACAGTCGACGTGACATTTGATCATTTTGATCCTGGATGATGCACAGGACTGTGAAATAAATGTGGTGCTCATCTGTTTCCTCTGAATCTCTCTTATTGTCGTTTTCTAGCAATTCCTCTGTTTAATACTTTATATTTTACTCTCTTGAGAAGCCGTATAGCTGAAGTGATTAAAGTGATATTTCTATTTATCATCAAAACGTTTCAGTTTGTGTGTTAGCTGTTTGTAAATCAGATAGATTTGCTCTGCAACCTTTGTGTTTTTTATTTTGGATTCTTTCAGATTCCTCTTGAAATCAATGAAACAAGGTGGAAACACTACCTCTCTTGTCCACAGGGGCCGCCAGAATTAACAAAAAAATAAAGAAAATTCCTTGTTGCAGCTTTAATTTGTGTATTTTTATAAAATCTCTTCGTCAGATCCTGTGCTTGTATGACAATGTGGATGCCCTTGATGTGGACAAAGTGGTGGAGTACATCAAAGGATTGCAGCAGGAAGACGGCTCCTTTGCAGGGGACAAATGGGGTGAGCAAGATGTCCTCTGAAACACTGTATGCTTGTATATATTTGTACAAATATACAACTATTTGTCATACAGGGCTTGTAGCTAAAATACCAGTAAAAAAGTATTGTACTCATTTATTTAAATTCTAGTTTGGTTTCAATATAATATTAAAATAGTAAATTGTGTTATTTTATAATTACAGGAGAAATAGACACGAGATTTTCCTTCTGTGCTGTTGCTACACTTGCATTACTGGTATGTATATCATGTACACTGTTTGTCAAGTTTTTGTCTTTACTCAACATTTTATTTACACTTTATAATTCATATATAATCTGAAGATGGCTTTCTTCCTTCCAAGGGCAAGATGGACACAATCAATGTTGACAAAGCTGTAGAGTTCGTCTTGTCCTGTATGAACTTTGACGGAGGTTTTGGCTGCAGACCTGGTTCAGAGTCTCATGCTGGTCAGGTGAGTCCGCTGATGTACTCACACAGTCAAAGACGATCGCTGTTGGAGTTCCTGTTCTTTCATTTCTTTTTAAACAAAAGCAAAAACAGCTTAAACTGAAGGTAAAACTGAAGAAATCCGATGTTAAGTTGCTAGTTTCCACATAAAAGTTCAGACAGTTTAATTATTATTCACACCTCACAAATGTGAGGCTGCAGGCTGGTCTCATGGGAGGGAGTCTGACTCATAACTGAGAGGTTGTCAATCCCCGAAACTAACAGGATGAAATGTTCTCGCTCTGGAAGGTGGCTGCTATCACATTTACACCCCTCTTGAGCAGTGACATGTGTTAAAATCCT